TCAATAAAGCAAACTCAGATTGCATTTTAGTAACTTTTTATATAAAGCAGGTTTATTTAATTTTTAATTAGAATTTCTGTTCCAATTTGGAATACAGATCACTTTCGCCAAGAAAACTATTCCAGAAAAATTCTTGATTACACATATACAATACACGAAAAAATACTAGTGTGTGACAATTTGTCACGTCGATCACTTTCGCCAAGAAAGATTCTCGATCATATGTGAGTTAAAAGACAGATATCAATGCAATAAAATAAATTTGCGAAATATATATGCAAAAGTAAATACGATTATGTATGCAAAATTGGCCACCAGGGCCAGCTTTATTACTGCTTTATAATTGTAAATGCGTACTATATTGCTTTACATTTATTTGGCTTTTCTACTTAGAGGTGAAAATAAATACAACTGATATTCTCATTCTAATACTAATTTATATATTCTAACTATCGCAAAACCTGAAATTTGAGTAAAGGTAGTTAGAAACAAGAAATGTAAAGCAATCAAAGAAACATTTATAATGGAACGCACCACAAATTCAAAATGCAATGCATACCTTCCTCTTTCCAGTAGACGCTTGCATAGCTTTCGAACTAATAACACACCACAATTTATAGACACTCTAAAAGAGAAAGTTATCTCTATAAACCTGTCGAGTTATTTTTGGTTATTAACAACATATATAACTCATGAATATTTATCTAATGTGTGGAAATCAGTTAGTGCTATCCATAGAAACCTATCTATAAATTATTGACTGATCGCACCATTGGTGAGAAGCAATCATTCTTATATCAAGTGAAATAACTTATTCTTAATAAATATCGAAAATATAGTCAAAGCTTGATCTATAATTTTTCATTGATGAGAATAGAAGATATTTGAATTTTGGGAGATTATTAATATATTATTATGAATTACGTATTATATTATCCAGGTGGGGATAAGATTGATTCTATATATTTTGTCAGAGAACATGATTTACATATAAATAGGCCAAATTTTTTGGCTGACCACGATCCTTGTTACCTAATTCTTTAACTTTTTTTCATAATCTTGATCCCCATTGTTTAACAGACTCGTTTGATTTTCTAGCATTGGGATCTTTTACTACTTGAAATTGTGAATCTAAATTAGACAAGGGTTCAGAGCTAGAAACTGGCACAGTTGCTTGTAATATATTTTGAGGTGCACAAGGTGCTTTTTTTCAGTTAAATGATACTTGAATTTTTGGTTTGTTGTGAATGTATTGCTACATCTTGGACAAGGTCCATATCTATACATAGTTAACCAATTTATATATATTACTTTAAATATTCTTTTCTTTAAATTTAAATTTTATCCTATATAGTCTAACTTAAGTATATAAGAAGACCATCGGAGAGCCAAAAAATGCGTTCCTTGCACTTTCTGTGCGAAGCCTACTACCTCTGCTTCTGGCCGTTGCCAGGCTCATGTTGGTGGGTTTTATGTTTCCCAATATATTGCTCGACTTAAAAATACTCTCCAATAACTCACTGCACTTCATTTGTTCATAATTGGAATGGATTTCGAAGACTCAAACTATACAAGAAAGCAATATGGTAACTAGATGCTTCACTTCACTTCGCATTTCAGGTGCTTTGTACCCTCATACAGTTAGCAATAATAGATTTCGGAGACTTACTAGACAAGAAAGCTAAAATGTTATCTAGATATATTTCA